GAACAAATTCTATTCTGAGAGAGCTTTCAAGCCTAAAGGCTGCCTGCCTGGTCTGGGGCCTGTCCCCTTCTTCCCCACCCACTTGCCCCAGAAACATCTCTTTTCGTGGTGGAAAATTACACATTCACAAACTGTGTTTCTTTCCTCACACCAAGCATATTCCCACACAGCGACTGATTCTGGATGATCTCATGGGTGAATCATGCCATTATCCGGCTGTTTATAAGAGCTGCCTTTAGACAAAGATTTTGGTGTAAGCTGCGTTAAGACCCCTCCATTGTCTGCCAGTCGCCCTTCTGGGGATGACTTACCCCTGAGTGCTGAGTCTGAGGGGCCAAGATTTCTCAGCTAAAAGCTGCCTTTGATTTTACTTTTTTTTTCCTTCTGTCAGCTGTGGCCTTGTTCATTGACTTTGAACTCTGTTGGTATGACTCTGCCTCCATGCAAGCCAGTGAAACTGATCCAAGATGGCCACTGCACTTGAAGGAGCAGTGTTAGCTCTGGAACTGTGACAAATACTAGAGATAATGAACTTATGAAAAGAAAATGGTTATTTTGGTTTATGGTATTAGAAATTTCAGTCTGGGGTTGGGGAATAGTTCGTGCAAGCAGGAGGCCCTGAGTTCAGTACCCAACACCTACATGAAAGCCAGGAGCAGTGATGCACATTTGAAACCCTGTTCCAAGAAAGGAAAGACAGCCACAGAGCCTAGCCTATTAGACAAGCTCTAGTCCAGTGAGACCCTGTCTCAAAAATCAAGGTGGGCCACTCCTGAGGAACAACACACAAAGTTGTCCTGTGGTTTCCACATACATGTACACGTACCCACACAGACATGCTCAGTCCAGGTTTCACTCTCTACAGGTGCTGGAGCTGAGTTATGGACTTCATGGCTGGGCTGCCAAAAGTGGGGTGGGGGGTCCTCAATATCCCCTTTTAGGGCTCACCTCCTGACCTAAGGCCTCCCATTGGGCCCTCCTAGGGACTCCACCACCTCTCAGTGGTACACCAGGTGAGGGAGCAAGCCTTTAGCACATGACCTTTGGGGGACATTCTAGATCCAAACTACAGCATACTACACATGGGGCTTCTGAGCAGAGTACTTGTGTCTGGAGTCCCGTGGCGTATGATCTCTTAATTAAGACTTGTTCACATGTGGTATTTCCTTTCCTAATCAGTTTTCAGAGCTCTGCTTTCTCCCAGTCTCTGTTCTTTTTGAAGGGTCTAGAAATCCTGTTAATATTTAATTAGCTCTTAAATTATTTACTCATCCAAGTGTTTGAGCCATTGTTGGCCTTAAAAGAGAAAGTTCCCGGGTGGTGCTCCCAGCTGGTCCCGTGAGTCTGAGTTTAAGGCACCATTAGAGATGCCACCATGGGTAGCTTTCAGGACAGCCCGATCTTAGGAGCAGAAAGCCTTGGAAAGTGCCTAATTGGATCACGCATGCTTTCTCCCATCTACTTCCCAGGTGTAAGTATTCAATTGTATATTTTAAAAAGTATTATGTGTGGGGGTATGCATGATGCAGGGGTGCACATATGTGGAGGTCAGAGGTCAACTTTGTGGCAGTGATTCTCTCCTATCTTCCCATGAGTCCTGGGGAATCACACTTAGCTCAGCTGATTTGCACTGCAAGCACCTTTGCACACTGGCTCACAATTATAATTTTTTTTAGATTGTTTCATTGATTTTGCCTCCAAGGAAAAGGACCCTGAACTCTCTTATAGATGGGGAATCCTGTTGTCCTACCAAGATCAATTCTGTGCATTAATGATAGTCAGCCAAGTCTTTCACAAAAGATAGTCGGAATTGGCCATGCAGTGGTTAACGGGGCAGGGGGTGGGTAATCTTTGAGAACGAGATAATGTAGGTTGACAGTTAGCTTTGATCACATGATTCAACAGTGGTGAAATATGATGTGTTTGCTTTGTGCTGTAGCAGCTGAGGCTAAGCCTGGGTTCCAGGGGCTTTCCTGATGTAGACCCACGGGACTCGGAGGAGAATGCCACAGCCCCCAGTGAACCAACCTGCTTTTCTTAAGCATAGAACTGCTGTTTGACTGTCTGCTATTTAATCCCCTCTCATCTTGCCTCAGCCTGCCCCCCAGCCCCCTCTCTAGCCCCTCCCATTCCCCCCACTGACTGTTTCCAAGGCTGGTCTTTGTCCTGCATTTTCAAACTGTTCAAGCTTGCATAGCCTGAGAATTGAGCTGAGTGGGAAAGCCAGTGTAAATTGGGGCAACAAGGAATTAGAACATGAAGTTGCCCATGGCTCTGACCAATGCTCTTCGGCCCTTGTAGAAATAAGTATGATATCCTCCTACTGCCTTACAAACCACTCTTGTCCCTGGCAAAAGTACCACATTTAAGATTTGATATGTGCAAATCTGGACTACTGCACGTAAGTGGTGCTTCAACTTGCCGTGTTCTTTAAAGAAGGACCTCCTATGCAGGTGAGGTTGGCCTGTGACTCAAAGAGACCAACCTACCTCTGCTTCCAAATGCTGGGATTAAAGGCATGCTCCATCATACCCAGTGCCTTTTTGATTTTTAAAAATAGTTGGAGTCTCAGTAAGTTAATATTTGACCCCTACATATATCTGGGTTTAAAAGAATATCCTTCAGACTTTTCAAAGAAAGTCCAGCTTGAATCTGCTCTTAATGGCTCCATCCAGCTGCTGCTCTAAGTTGTCATCCATACTGTGGGTTTAAGGCTGGCATTCGAGGCCACAGATGTTTTTGATAACCATTTTATAAGGTTTTAGAACAGTAATGTTAGAAAATGCTGAGATTTATTCTTACTCTCCTAGGAACTTTGCTTCATTCTTTTTTATTGGATATTCTCTTTAAAGATACTTTTTGAGTATAGCAACACAACTCATAGTCCCTTTCTGCAGTCACCACCAGTTGTTCAGGCCTTTGAGACAGCAGGCAGCATCGCCCATCGCTCTGTTGCTCCCTTTGCAGTCACACGAGGCCAAGGCAGTTATCTGTAATATTAGGGAGCCCATTGTGCAATTGCTGTTATTATGTCAGTCGAGTATGGCTCCGAAAGGGCAATTTCCTGCAGTTCATGCTAATATCAGGTTTCAGTGACATTTATTGGAGCACTTAGCAGGGAAAACCTAGAGAAGATGGGCAGCATCTTGCTACCCAGAATGTCAAGAAAGGAAATGTTCACCTGCCTGAGGATGTAGCTCATCTGGTAGAATACTTGCTTAACATGCACAAAGCCTTGGGCTCAGCCCCCAGGACCACAGAAAACTGGGCATTGTGGTGTATACCTCTGACCCCAGTCCTTGGGAGGCAGAAGCAGAAGGGCCGGAAGTTCAGGATCCCCTTCTGCTACATAGTGAGTTTCAAGGCCAGCCTGGGCTATAGGACATCATATCCTAAGAAGAAGAAAACAGTCCAGTGACCATCAGAAATGTCATGAATGAGCTTTGTTTTCTGTGACGTGACTCTTGAGGCGCATATGTGTATATGCTTGTAATCTTAACTCACTCCCACCAAGAACCGTGTTCAGTTCCAGTGACCACCTGAGAGAATGCACAGAAACACGTGTCCCAAACATCACAAAGTCACATTCTAGAGTGGCTACTTGATGTTGGGAATTACATACATGAGGATGGTCTTGGAGAAGTACTGATTTATAATGTTCTTGGAGGGAGGAAGGGAGGGAGAAGAAGGGGACAGAGGGGGGAGGGAGGGGGACCCTATAAACAGTTCTGAGACTTGTTTGCCTTTCCTATGTGACTTTGATGTCATTTTGAGCATGGTGAGCCATCTCTTAAGAAAGTGGCTACGAGGAGCAGAAGGTCTGCATGTTGATTTTGAAGACTGACCCAAGTAAGACTTTGCATTGGAAGGAGCCGGGCCATCTTTTGCACACCTGTAGATCAAAGCAGGGGCTGAGCTGAGCCGAAGATGTTTGCTTTCCCTGTGTCAAAAGTGACATTCTTTCCTTCCTCTTCCCTATTCATCATCCCCAGCCTTTCTCTCTTTCTCCGGGGTTACCGCTGGCCTTTCCACATTACTTTCTCTTGCTGAGGTTCTCAGTCTCTGCTTGTGGAACCTCCATCCAGATCTCCTGGTGAGCATGCTGTCAGTCTAATGTGGCCTTCACTAGCAAGTACTGTGTATCAGACAAGCTGGAAAGCAGCACCCAAGCATGGCCGCAGTATATATAGGTCCTGGACACCCTATTCTGCCCTGTACTAGACAGGATGCTTGGACATAGGAGACAGGCTGTAGTAGGTAGTCAGAATGGCACTAGGTGACTGGAGCGACTCACCCTTTGACACAGTGAGTAACTCTACCTGGATGTAGTCACAGTGGACCTACCTTGCACCTCTAGGGTGGTGCTATGTGTTAGAAAGAGCACTTTGGTGACCTTGTTAAGTCTCAATGCCCCCCTCTGTAAAATGGGTTAATGGTAATATCTTAGCTAACACGTGATGGTGAGAGGCTTTAGAAATTGTGCTATGCTACTGGAAGGTTTGTTATTATTACTGGGGTTATTCTTTGGTGAGAGGACACACTGTCAGGGTGGTTGGCCCAACTACTGTGGTATTGATCCTTTTATTACCAGCAAGCACTTGGTAGCTGTTGAAGACATTGATTTGTCCCATCTGATAAAGAAGAGCGGTGAAGAGAGGTGATCTTAGCAACTTCAAAAAGAAGTCAGCACTAGATCCCAAGAGACTCACGTTCCCCAGCACTCAGAAAATGCCTCCCCTCACCTACCTGTCTGAAAACACAGAGGCCATGCTGAAGCTGTTGGTAAACACGGGCTTCCAAGGCCCGCTTCCTCCTCACATGTTCTGTTCATGTGGGTATCATTTACATGAAAGTGATAGAAGAGTGACTCCCAGAGCACCGCTGCCACCACCCCCCCGCCACACCGGGTCATTTCATCAGTGTGACTGTGAAATGCCATACAGTAAGTGTCATTCTTTGGGAAACACACAAAGCATTTTCTCTTGGCTTGTCCTTCCTAGGGACCTGAAATTGGATGGAGGGAAACAGTCAGCAGGGGCTATGAGCCTGAAGGAGATCATTGGCCTTGATGGTGTGGAGCTGGGTGCTGACGGGAAGGTAAGGTTTCCAGTGTCTGAGATTTTGCAGATAGCACAAGGCCCAGGATGTGAGAGCTAGAGCATAAGCCTTACTTGCCAGGTCAGGGCAGGTTCCAGGGCGA